ACTAAACATATGGATTTCTACTTGCCTAACAATACCTTGGGCTAAACTATGGGAGAAATTAAGATTGTGAGAAATCAAATCTATCTGAGGGTTATATCTTTCTAATCACAATAATTCTAAAATGATTGAATTACAAGGAAAGTTAATCATATTAAATATTACTAAACTATAGTAACCACTAATTACTACTTTTACAAGAATAGTTTTATATGCAATATCTCCAGAAGATAATGAACATCCATCTATTACTTCTGTATGGACAGGTTTGATTTTCTGAACTAAAGATATATCTTGTTTTTTGATAAAGTCTTCATCTATAAAAGAAGTTGAGGCTCCTAAATCCAACAAGGCTAAGACTTTGTGATTTTTTGGTCTTAAACAAACTTCTATTGTAAAATAAGATGAAAGATCTGAAGAAAGAATAAGACCTTTATTAGATGTTACAAATGATTCTAACCACACGGTCCCTATCATAGCTAGAGTAACTCATTTTCTAATACATTGTCTTTTATGGCAATCATGCTTCTTATTACTGAAGCCATTGCATGTACTTTTTTGCATTATTTTTTTTGGACAATATTGAATAATATATTTAGCTTCTCCATAATATAAGTATAAGCCCTCTTGATGTTGTTGACTCTTTTCATGCTCTATGAGGGATTTAAAATGTACCATATCAATTTATATTAGTTCTAGCTTTGATAAATAAGTTTTTGAAGATTTAAGAGCTACCAACATTATTTGATTTGTTCTTCTCTGGCCATATCTTTGTTCTTGATATCTTTTAAATAATTGATTTCCACATACAATGGCTTGAGTAATAAATCGTTCTAAAGATTTTGTCTTTGGCATTGTCAGTAACAAGTCTTTCACATTATCCTTTAATCCATATCAAAATTGATTGATAAATGCTTTGTCATTCCACTCCATGTTACAAATAAGGTTTTGGAATTCAACAGCATATATGGTGGCTAAATGTGATCATTGCTATAAAGATAAGAGCTTAGTCTCTACTATTCTTATTTGATTACTTTGTCCAAATGTGGCCGTAACTACTTCTAAAATTGAATTCAAATCATAAAAGAGTCACAAATCTTTTTCTATTAAAGATATAAAATAAAAAAGAACACTTCTTAATAGTTATGCTCCTATGAATCCGACTTGAATAAATTTATTAGGATATTAGAAAGGATGCAATCTTAGATAAAGCTTGACTTGTTGCAAAAATCCTCAAAATTTTGATCTTATTCCATCAAACTTCTCAGGCATACTAATACTTGTCCCTCTCATGCTTTTAGAAGCAAAACTCTTTGGATTTGGTTGTGAGATCAATCTACTTGCTTTTTTTAACTATACAACTTTTTATTGCAAACTCTAAATTTTTTCCATAAGCGTAGGTATAGTACCTCCATGATTCATATTGGAAATACGTGAGATTTCTATTCTTAGAGTATTGACAAGCTCATGAAGATCTGCAATAGTTACAAATCTATTCTTACTTTTGCTAAGAATAACATCTATAATTTTTTCTTCCATAGACAACTCAAAAAAATTCAAAAAGTTAAATTAAAGGAAGGTAATCTACAACCTCTAGTAAAAATTTCTACAAAGAGAGATAATCCACTCTCTTTTAAGAAAAGATCAGTATTAGAAAATAAGATTTTTTGTTTAAAAGTGGATAGTCAGCAACCTTCAAAATATAATAATAGAAGTGGGATAATCTACTCACTTCTTAAACATTTAGATATAGTATGTTAGCAGTCTTGTCAAATTATCAAAGACATGAATCTCAAAGAAAGAAACTCCTCTGTACACTCTTGTATCACTAAAAGGAACTAGAAAGTTACTCAAAGATAATATAATATTGAATTAGGATGGCTATTACCAAAAACAATAAGACTAGAAAGTCTTCAAACATGACCAAGGATTAAAAAGGCCTTGATAAGAGTGAAAAAAGGCCTCATCCTTGCCTCCATATATATTTTTAATTAGGAGCTATGTGGCGATGTCCTATAGGACCTCCAAAATGTGTTGACTTTGTAAGACATGTATCTTAACTTACAAGACAAGTTTTCTATGTGTGTACCACATAGTTAGCTTGTTCTACAATTTACCAATATATATTTAACTTGTTGACCAAGTTTCCAACCTACCAATCAATTACAAACACATGTAAAGTCAAGTAATGTCTATGAAGCTTCTAAGAAGTTCATCTAAAAGGTCTTATGAAATTACCCTACTTTTATCTACTTTTACCTATTCCTACCTAACTATATAGATATTTACTAAAATACCAATGTATGTTTGTCATAGTACCTAGTCAGATATAGCTTCTATTCCTTTCTCTTGATAAAGTTTGGTTTTGTATTATTCTGTTTTATTCTATTCTATTATCTTTTGCTTTGTTATGGCTTTCATGTTTTATTTTTTTTAGTTCTATTCAATTTTGTTCTAATTTATGCTATCCTATACTGCTATGGATTGGAAAGATCTTAGATTTTAGAAATAATTTAGTCTCGTTTTACTTCTCTACTTTATGAACTTTGAATTTTAAACCTCTAAGCAACTATGGCTTTTGGAATTGTCTTGAAGCCAAAAAGACATGGAACTAAAATATTCCAATTATGAATAAATTAGTCAAAAGTCTTAAAAGGATTGGCCTTTGGTGAATCTTTTTATAGAAGTAATTTTTTTTATAAAAGAGATTCTCTCTAAATTCAAAGAATTCAAAACAAAATAGTCATTATTATGTAGAACTTTCTTATGGACAATACATAAGCATAGCAATTATCTATATTTTAATAAAGAGGTGTGGAATAATAATAAAGTAGATTTTGAAATTTAATCAATTTTAACAGATCATGGTAGTATTTAATAAAAATTAATAATAAATAAACTATATAAATAAATAGATAATAATAAAGTCCTATTTTGTTATTAGGATTGAACTTAGATACTTAAGTATATGATAGACACTAAGCACCTAAAAAAAAAAAGTATAGAACTTTCAATGTAGAATCATTGTATATACTAAATAAGACTCTGACATATAGAATCATGTAGTAATTCTAAATAGTAGTGTTTCATCCAATGTCTAATTCTTTGTATTTTAAGTCTTTAAATGCCTTGTACTTTACATACTTTAGTTAATGCATTAGATATAACTTGCTTTTGTTTAAAAATCAATAAAATAAAATATAAAATATAAATAAAATATAAAATATATAAATAATTTTTTAAGACCTTTCCATCAAATAAATATATAATTTAAAAAATATTTGAAGAATATTTTAGATATGTTGTTTTAAATGTTGGCATTGTATGTTAAAAAATAGTTGTAATTAAAAATATATTTAAGATATAGATTGATAATAAGTAGAATGGCAAAAAAGATAAGCCAAAAAATAATATTTAAGTTTTTTGCTTTTGTATAATTATTTTATACTTTATCATTTATTATGCAAGTACAAAAATAATTAATTATATATATGTGTGTGTGTGTGTGTGTGTGTATGTGTATGTGTATGTATTTTGTATTTATAAAATATGTTGGTACTATCTAAAATTGTATATAAAGCTATTAGTTCTACCAAGTAGTCTTATCTTTATTATTAAATCCAAAAGACTATTTGATATTTTTTTTATCTATAATTTCATATAAAAATTATTGTTATTTGAGGTTTTTTTTATTGTTATTGATTTAATATATTATACTTGAATTTTAGACTAGTTAATTATTAACTTACAAGTAGGGACAATAATACAACCTTATAATTTAAGCTTTATCAATCAACATTATTATAGTCTTATATATAGAGATAAATGATAAATAAGAAGATAGTAATGAAATTACAATCAATTTTAGATTGATATAATTTAAGTTTGTTTAATAATAGTCAATTGATTAGATATTATAACAAAATAGTGACCAATTTTGAAGATGTTTAATTATTTATTTTTGGTTGGATATAATAAATTATTATTATATATATTTAGGAATGATAAAGTAGACATTATTTATTAGAATTTATCTTGATCACTTTATAAAATCTTAATATGTTAAAATAAATAGTAGAAATATCATAAAGTATTATAAACAATAGACTTTGTTTTAATATTGTAGCTCAAATATATGCCATAGTCTAACATAGGATAATTGTATAGCAAAAAGAGTGTAGAAATCAATATTATTTTACTAATTGATGTTGATTCAACTAAATATTTTGGATATATTATTTTAAAATATATTTTGGATTGTGCTACAATAAATATATATATATATATATATATAGAGAGAGAGAGAGAGAGAGAGAGAGAGAGAGAAAAGAAAGGATGTAATACAATGTGTGGTCATATACACCTATACACACATATCACATACTAAGATAATAAAACAAACAGATCCAATTGTACACAAGAAATAAATATTAAAGGTACAAACAAACCTCACCATGAGTAAAGATATTCTACAATGATTATTATAAAAACAAATCTTTAAAATAATAACAAAGATGATAAAGGAACTTCACAAGAAACTATCAAAACTTTAATCAGCTTAAACAAATATACGAGAAGAATGTTTGAATTCGTTCAAAACATAGAAAATGCAAAAAAGGGGAAAGTCCACGTAGGATGTGGAATGTTGGTGGAGCGAAGGCTTCATGCTGGAGTGAAGGGGAATGAGAGGAGCGCAGCACGAGAGATTCAACGCGGCACCGCCGCGGTGAGGTAGGTCACGAGCGGAGTCCGCGTCCACTCCGACGAACTGCTCCACCACGGAATGAATGCGAGGTAGTGAAAAGGGAGGACTGGGGGACTGGGGGCTGGATTGGACTGGGAAGCGATTGAGGTGGGGCATCTTTGACAAATCGCAGCGATGGACGGGGATCCGCAGGCTGTCTGTCCATGAGATGAAAGTAGCTGCTGGTGGGTGACGCTCGTGACGTTTAATTTTCTCATGCGCGTGATGGTTTGCAATGGTGACCTGGAGTCTCACACTAGAAAACGATTGATTAATCAACGCCTTGGTCTTTCACTCCCTCCCCCGTCTTTCACGCGCCTCCATTTGCTTCTTCATCTTCCTTCTTTCTCTTCTTCTTCTTCTTCTTCTTCTCTATCATCAGCATCATCATCTCCTTTGCAGATCCACATCCCTTCGCAGTCTCGCTCTCGGGTCGTCATCTTCATCGGGAGCGACAGTTTCGCCCAAACCTTTTTATCAGTTTGTGTGCCGTTATTCTAGACAGCTGCGGGATTTTGTCACATGTGGCGGCTCGCGGTAATGTGTTGGGCGGAGAGGGTATGGTATTTTGGATCTGCGAGTGGGATTTGTAGTTTTAGGGCTGGCAACTTCTGGGTGGTGATTGTGGCCTAGTATTCTGGGTGTGGTGGTTATTGGGGTGTAGGCTTGGTGGGGATCTGATCTGGTCCATGAAGTCCTGAGCACCTTATTTTGAGGAAGACGTCAGTTTTCGCCATCGCGTCGATGAATCGGTGTGCGCTGGTAGTAATTGGTTAATTTGTGGGTGAGTTTTGGTCCATGGCACCACAGCAGCCGTGATTTGGAGTTTTATTTATTTATTTATTTATTTATTTATTTTTCTTCTTCTTCCTCTTCTTCTTCTTCTTCTTCTCGTTTCCGTGTTAAGGAACATCATTGTTGATCTTTGGATTGTTTTCTTACCGACTCACACACTACACACGTGAGCGAATCCTGTGTTTCTCTTGCACTTTATGGTTTATAGTAAATGGTGTGGTCCTTGCACCTTGGGGTTTTGCAGGTTCTGATCATGTAGTCTCGTACTCCGCTTGTGGCCCGCGATGACTACACATTTTTACCGTTTGAAGTGGGTGCGTATACTCAACAATGTGGTCGATTTACCACATTGAGGCGCTGAGAGGGGAGTGCGCTAACAAGCTCGTCAGTTTATCACTTGCTATTATGTAGCTGACACTCTACTGTATGGTCCCCATGTTGGAGGCAGAATGGAAATGAAGAGAATGGGACTGGTTTCCGTTTAAGTATTAGAATATTCCATAGAGGCCATATTCGTGGTGCTGCGATTTCTTTTGACAAGGTTCTGGACCTCTGCCATTGAAGATCCTACGGAGCGCAGACACTGCGTCAGCTTCCGTAGAAAGAAATGCACTTTAATAATTTCTAGGGTAATTTCCGCTTATCTCGGCGAAGTAGAAAGTCACAAGACGAATTGGCAGCGTTAGAATGCGGGACATGTAGATCTTCTAACAAGAGTAGGGTCCTGTGAAGCCACATGTAGAATTTCAAGCACCTCGAATTTGAAGCATAGTCATCTGGAGGGTGAATCATTGTGTTCAAAATGGAGGCTGAGATTGAATGGTACGTAACCCGCCACATGGACCTGAACATGGAGATTCTTCTAGAATTTCCGGTGCGTGTTGCGGAGCTTGTACGCAAATTGGTGGAGGAAGCTGATTCTTTCCGACAGGAGTGTGCGGATCTTAGCAGCAAAGTGGAAAAGTTGATACAATTACTACGGGCAGCCGCTAGGAAAGTGGGGCTGTACGAGCGACCCACACGGCGAATAATGCTGGAAGTGATGAAGGCGTTGGAACGGGCTCTGGGGTTGGTGAAGAAGTGCAAGAGGGGTGGTATGCTCAAGAGGGTAATGACTATCACCACTACTGCAGATTTCAAAAAAGTGATTATGTATATGGACAGCGCGATAGGGGACATCACGTGGCTGTTGAACGTCTCCTCCACAGGGGATGAGCGCTCTGGCGCAGGATTGCCCCCCATCGCATCCACCGATCCCATGCTGGCACTTGTCTGGGAGCAAGTATCTATTGTGCATGCAGGAACACCAGAAGAGAAGGCAGAAGCAGCAGAGTATTTGGGGAACTTGGCCAGGGGTAACGAACGAAACACAAAGATCATAATTGAGGAAGGAGGGGCGGCGCCATTGCTGCGGTTGCTCAAAGAGGGCACGATTGCTGGTCAAGAAGGTGCTGCCACAACCTTGGGTTATTTGGCTGGGAACAAGGAACGAGTTCGGCAGTTACGTACCGACGGAGCTATCAGTGTCTTTGCGCACATTTTGAGCAGTCATGCGACGTCCATGAAAGTTCAGGTAACAGTTAGTCTCCTTTCTTGTCGCTTTCTTCTATGCACATAAGCAATAGAACCACAGGTGTATCATTCTCATTCCCATGCTCAGTATATTTGAACTCTAGGATGCATTACATAACTTCATCGGGATGAAAAGGATTTTCACAAACGTGTCCTTGTTGTTCCTTAAACCCAGTTAAAAGTTGCAGCAGCAGTTGCAAAGTTTGCTGAGCTGGATGATGAAGCACAAAGTGAGCTTGCCTCTCAGGGTGCGATCAGATTATTGGTGGCTCTTCTTGCCCATCAGACCAATACTGTTGAGGGCGCGGACAACCCAGTAAGCATTCACGCAGTTGTAAGGACAAGTATGAGCCAGCTGAAAAGTACTGCTATCAAGGGAAACAACTCCCAATACGACTCACGTGTACAACCTGTAGCAATGGCAGCCTCTTCAGTGATGGCTCGCATGAGAAGCGCTGCCCCACCCAGTATTGCAGAGAACCCTTCTTCTTCTAGCGCAAGAATGAATGTACCTCTGCGACAGAGTAGTCGAGCGCATCGAGATTTGGAGGACCCTGCTGTCAAGTTTCAGATCAAGGTGGAAGCTGCCAACGCACTTTGGAAACTCGCAGCAGGAAACATAAAAAATTGCAAGCTCATCACAGACACGTGTGCACTTCTGTGCTTCGCAAAGTTTATGAAACTGAGCGGAGGGGAATTGAAATATAATTCTGTTATGGCTGTTAAGGAAATCGCAGCTGCTGCAGAAAGGGACCCTGAGCTTCGTCGAGCCGCATTCAAGACCAACTCGCCATCAGCAAGAGCTGTTGTCGAACAGCTTTTGAAAGAGATTACAAACGAGAACGGAGAACCTGAACTCCAGGTACGCCCTCTGAGACTTCATGACTGCCCGGGATCACTTCTGCGTTAACTGAATTTCAATATCCGTATATGATCTTTTACAGAGTTGTATAGTTTCGTGAAGCAAAATTATTCTCGAAGTACACGAGAGAGAGAGAGAGAGAGAGAGAGAGAGAGCAACCGTATTACGTACTAATGAAATGTTTTTTCTGATTAGCACGTTCCAGTTTTAGCACTTTTTTGCTAGCAGACTCCGTAGTAAGAAGCTTTAAAATTATTTCAAAGCTGATTGGGATTCCTGGCTAACCTATTAATTAGCCCACAACAAAGTTGGTATTTACAAGAAGGTTGTGCATGGTTGCCAGGTAGCATGTTGTAAAGCTATAGGAAGTTTGGCAAGGATTTTTCCTTCACCTGCTGAGCTTCCTATTAGGGCGTTGACTTCAGCCTTAGCCAACCAGAACCAGGACGCCATTCAAGTTGCCACAGAAGCGGCCTCTGCATTGTCGAAGTTTGCGAGTGACGAGAACTACTTGCACTTGGAGCACTCAAAGAACATCATTCAAGAAGGAGCGGTGGAACACTTGGTTCTGTTGGCATTGAATTTTGGGTACTCAGAATCACAACTCTCTGCGATTGAACTTCTTTGTTATCTATCATTGAATGTCCCTGATAGTGAATCATTAGCGAGCGCGAACATTATCCACGTCTTGAAATCTACTGTGCACGCCAACCAGTTGTCTCAGTTATTTGCGAAACATGAGAATGCTCGACCATTGATCATGGATGCCATCGCAAAGCTGGAGTTTTGGCAGCTTCGAAGCTCCAGTTTTACTGTAGACATAGGGCATGACAGGTCCGACTACATGGACGAGTAACCTCCGAAACCCTCGTCTGTTCTTTCACTAAAGACGAACATCCTCTGGGAAAAGAAAAGAATTTATTGTATTCCTATGCGTCGAGGCTTCGCTTGAAATTCTTTGAGACTGTGCGCTCTTGCTCAAGTGTTTTCGACACTGTAGCATATGCCGAGGCTGTTGCAGGTTCTTTTGCTTGTAGACCATGTATTACAGTCACGACTTTTCTTTTTCTCTTTCATTTTTTCTGTATAGGCAGGATAGCACCCCAGGTCAAACTCCGATTTGGGTTTGGTATGGAGTAGTAGACAAGGTCAGGGGCTTGAGGTTATTCTTACTGAGAGAGAACATCATTCCACCTTACTAGGAGTTCATGAAGTGAGATGGATGGCTACATTTGCCAGCTATATTTAATGTCTTTAACCTGTGTCAACTGGAGTGCGTCCACTTTGAATTCCTAGCTCCACAGCAATTTATTTCAGCTTAAATATGATGGAATGTTGAGGCTCTGTTTTATTTTGCTTTTTCCGGTGGATACCCATGTTGTTCCATTTGCTGTGCCATCCCGACGTGGTGAACCTTCACGCTTTTGCGCATGATCATCGTTGCTGCACCCAGCCCTGATCTCTGCTGAAATGCGCTCTCCATCTCACCCTCCAACATTTGATGTTCAGTGCATTGTCGAAGCCAATGGTATACTAATCTCATCCATGTGGCAATATGACGATTCTTGAGTTTGTGGTCAGAGATTCATTTCCTCAGAGCATGATAGTAAATGGTGAAACACTGATTCTTCGATTCCGCAAACTAAGTGCAAGACTGGCAAACGACTCAATTATGCGTTTGGTATGGTATCAAATTGTGTGTTTTTTTACTTGTACGCAAGTAATAATCAAATAACAGAATGAATGAATAAAATTAACAATTGTAACCAAAGAGTACAAATATAGGTTTGAAAACTTAGGTTACAAATTTAGGTTTTTTATGACCTTTGTGTTTCCCTTTGCCTCTTCTTTTTCATTGTCGCTTTTCCTACTTTTTTCCCTTGTTATCATTAACAGTATTTTCTATTTGGCTTTTATATATAACTTTCCTATTTGCCTTTTGCAATTGTGAGATCATTTATTTCCTTAATTCATAATACTTAGACCTCTTTTCAATACAAATGTTGTAGTACTTCCCAACACAAAGAGTAGTTGGATCACAACTACAAAAACATTTAGGCACAATAATTCATTCTTCAGTGGTTTAGTTTAATTTAGTTTTTGTCTCTCTCCATTGTTTATCTTATGGAAGTATTTCAGCCGTTGTCCAAGTTTAGGGACTTCATTATGATTATTATTATTTTAAAATTAAATACAATTTTGAAAGCCAATATTAATAGAATTGCCTGCATGGTTAAGAAAAACATATTCATTCATGGACATTGGTCAAACCCTAAAGCTAATAACAAATAACATGGAATGTGATTATGGATGTGGGTGAAATACATTCATCTCATTCTCGTTCATCCCGATAATGGAACCACGTGAGCAGAATCACGACCCTTCGCGGTTGGAATCTCACCCTCGGCGTGAGAATTATACAGATAGTACATGGTCATGGTATAGATATGTATTGGTATCATATACGAAATTACGTACACAAAGGAATACCCCACCGGAGCTAAGCGCGGCAGCATTGTAGGCGCGACACTGCGTGCTCGAGACCGACCCTCTTCGAGCTTTTGTATTCGTTTTGTGATTGTCACAAGGTCTCGCTGAAACCGAGCGGTCAAGTGTCCTCGTCGATGCAATGCACCCCGTGGATGTGAGTTATTTTCGGTTCTTCAGCAATGGCGTCTTTTCTAGACCAATGTGAGACAAAATGGTGCTCTATGGCTTCAGGGCCGAGGGATTGCGTTTCTCAAGCCTCTTTCGGACTTGGGAGGGGGACCTAGGGTTGCTTGTTCTGTGAGGTGGAATGACGATCGGGTGCGTGCTTAATAGTGGAGCAAATTTTGTGAACGGGTCTTGTGAGTTTGTCGGTTTCTAGGGGCCAGTAGTTTTTTAATTTTTTTTTGTTGTAAATTGTTTTTTGGGGATTGTGACGATGATGAAGAGATCCCTATCTGTCGTGTGGAACTTTTTGAAGTTTAAATAATGTGGAGTGGGTGAGAGGTTTAGAAATATCAGGAATTGCATTATCAGAGAGATTTTCAAGCAGCAGTCAGTTTGCGCAGAGATTAAGTTATGGTGTTTCAGAGGCTACATTTTTCCATAGAGACAGGGTTGTGGTGTGAAGTCGTCGCGAGAAGGGGAGTATTGGTAGTATTGTAAAATAAGATTTTTAGTACGATTTTATTTATTTATTTATTTAATGTTTTAATGTCTTTTATTTGTAACATTATAACTATTTTTTGATTTATTTTTGGGAGTGATTTCTCATGGCGTTTAAGTGCGAGATCTCATTCTTTTATCATATCGACTGTCCTCTTTCTGGGGAAAGTCTTTTACAGTCGTACATTGGTTCCAGTTGTGGAATTGCGGCATCTTCTAGCTCAACGATGTTGCCTTCTGCCTGAGCTACAGTGAGGTATTTTTCTAATCAATTCTTTTAGCTTCGTTCGATGTCTACCGTCATCTGTAACTTAGTTCATGGAGGTGATTTTCTGCGACTCTAAGGAAAGGAATTCACCTATGTCAGAGCTTTGGTGTTTTTTGTAACGTAGGCTCATGAAAAGTATGGGAATATTTCGTGCTAGTATTCAGCTTCATTTTTATTTTATTTATTTATTTATTTATTTGTTAGCTAGTCATGTGCGCAGTTAGGACACCAGAGGATTCCAGATTTGCGTTCATGATGCTTAAGGATATGGTTTAAGTGACTCTTACATTGATTTGAAAATTTTATGAAGACGGCACGCCTTGAACTTTCCGTGAGAACACCGAAGTTTACAATGGCTTCTTCAATGGGTTACAAACTTCCCAGGCGTTGGGAGATTTCAATGTGTATTTTAAATAGGTTGTATTCCCTCGGAGATTTATTTCTTGGCAACATTTTTGACTACGAAAGTGCAAGACTGAGTAAGTATTGAATGTGTCGAGATGTGCTTGAGAATAGTAACATATTTTGTTTATCATATTATTTTTCAATCGTGTGTCAGGTTTTTGGTTTGCAAGTATTGAAGGAATGGCTTGTGTGAAGCTGACAAAGAGACAAATTAGGTCATTTGCATCAACCAAGTGTTACTCTTCCTACGCTTGGAGCAACTCACACTGGTCGTTGCGCTGTCGTACGTGAAGAGAATGTCCAGTCTTTGTTTCAATTATCATCTGCCCAGAAGCATGTGAATTGGGCCTAACATTCCAAAATGGACGGATCTAACGTTTCGACGATCGGCGACGGTTTACCCGCTGATACTGAGAGTAGTATCTCGAAACTTGAGGACATTCCTCAAGGGGGTCCCTTCAAAATTGGTCTAGGGAAAAAATTAGAAAGTCGTAGGAGCAGAGTGCAAAGGTTACCCCATGTAGGAGGGGGCAATGGTCGTACTTTTGATCTAGAGGACATAGCGTCAGGATCGAATGGCTCGCACGTCACTAGCACAGATAGGGCATGCCGGGTGACAGTGACCATAATTGCTGCAAAAGACTTGAAGAGAAGTACAATTGGACCCGAAGCAAGGGACCCTGTTTTCAAAGTGCGAGTGGAAGAAACAGTGAGAAAATCAAAAGACCTCAAGACTGGCGTCAATCAGGTACTAATGGATCTTTTAGCTGGACCCTGCTTGGTTTGGAAACATATTATGCCAACTTTTTGTCAGCACACAACAGAGGACATTGTTTGAGGGTTCTAGTTTGAGAAGAAAGAGAATCGATTCCTTTTCATCACAAGACATGTTTAGTGTTTGGATGTATTCTCAAAGGATACCGGTGGCAACTCCGTGGCCAAATTATTCCGGAATTGCTTTTGTGTATATTAACAGCAGTTTGTAATTCCCTGTGCTCAGCTTATCTAATGTTTTATGACTGTCTTTAGACAGGTATAATTCATTAATACGAAGGAACTCTGGTTGCTTTGTCTCCAGGATGGAACGCTGGATGTGAACCAGAGTTTTACATTTGATGTTAGAGAGTTAAAGAGTGCGCAAATAACGCTTCAAGTTGTGGCAAGAGGAGTGCTTGGCATTGAAGAAGCTCTTGGACACATCAATCCTTTGTGTGTACTTAATTTGCTTGAGGTAGAAATTTGGGTTCTCTACTATTTTTCTGTTTCATCCTTCCAACCGTTTATCCGTTGTCATCATGCTTACGAGCCCAAAGAAGGGTTCTGACTGCAAACACATTTACTTAAGTCTTCTGATAGCACAGGGGTATCTCTGATCCTTTACAACGGTGTACCCACTGACATTTGCACATATCAATTTTTTTTCGTGAAATAGTTTTCCCTTTTATTATTCTTTGTGTTTCTTTCGACAAAAATTTGTTAATATTTACGCTAGAACTTACATTATCAGGAGCAAGGTGGCCGAAAGGATGTGGAAGCGAAGTGGTATGATCTCTATTCCAAAAGCGCCAATAGAATCATGCCTGGGAAGCTCCACATGCAGATTATTGTTGGTATGGCAGATCCAGAGCAGACTATTTCAGCGTTTGTGGGCACCTGGAATGTTGGAAACGCTCGCCCTCCCCCAGATCTGTCTCCTTGGTTACCTACTGATGCCTTTTTCGAGATCGTTGCTATAGGCACTCAGGAATGTGACTACCAACCCCGTGCTCCATTCACCGAGTGCAGCAAGGATTGGATCCACACATTGAAATCGCACTTTGGTGAGCGCTATAAGCTTGTTCATGCAACATCACGTGGGCAGATGCGACTTGTGGTCCTTGTTCGAGATGATGCTGAAAAGGCAATTTCCGAAGTAGATAGTGATAGTGAAGCGACGGGGGTAGGCAATGTTATGGCCAATAAAGGAGGTGTTTGCATTGCGTTCAAATTCTGGGATACAGGTTTGTGTTTCGTGAATTGCCACTTAGCTGCTCATGTTGGACAGTGCGAGACACGCAACAGCAACTTTAGACAGATCGCAATGTCAATGCGGGTTGGGTTACAAAGTATGGACCTACTCAGTCAGTTTCACCATATATTTTGGCTCGGGGACCTCAATTACAGGCTGGACTTTGGGAATCTAGAGCCCCAAGGACTTACTCCTGATCGGACATTCTGGGCCACAATTGTGAAGCAAATTCATGCCAACAGATGGAAAGATCTTCTCAAGTACGATGAGTTACGGAAGGAGAGAGCTGCCTCACGCATCCTAGCTGGTTTCAAGGAAGGAGAAATAACATTCCCCCCTACTTTTAAAATGCAGAGGGATTACTTAGATCATTATGATCAGAAACGGATGCCTGCTTGGTGTGATCGGGTGTTATGGAAAACCTTGCAAGGATGTCACTCGTACCTCATTTCTTACTTTTCTGCGTCCAGCATCGTTACCAGTGATCACAAACCAGTAGGAGCAACGTACAAGTTGACATCATACGCATTACCTTCGTCTACGTTTGTTCCGGACGGTACTGATGAGGATGATAAGAGGTAGGTGGCATTTTCTCTAAAGAACTGATAGTTTTGCCGTCCACTGTTCGTGCTAGTTCTGTCTGCACTAAATGTAATACTTGGTGTTTGAATCTTTAATAGTCGGGACCCGACACCGAGTATTGATCATAGATGCTTACTTTAGTCCGTAATTATTCTGTGGAATTAGCGATCCCACAATCAACAAATTTTTCAGAAAAAAAGTTCGCTTGTGGCTGCTCCGCTTATATGTAACTTGCAGGCGTATCACGAGGGGCATGGTTATTTTGGTGTAAGAGTTAATCAATGTTGGGATCTCTTTCGGAACCTAAACCTTAGTTACCCACAGACGTAACCATTTTGGGAATTGACTTACTAGTTTACTGATTGATTTTCAGGTGGCATATACGGTTTACTTCTCTGCGAGCTAAGAAATTGCGTGCCTCTGACATAAATGGATTCTCAGATCCGTTTGTCTCGTTTGTGGGCCCCAATCTATTACAAGAATTTCATTCAAAAGTGAAACACCAAACTCTGAATCCTGTATGGAATCCGTTCCAGGAACTGCCTACACTGGTTTTGAGTACGTTCCCCCTGCAACGAGTGGACAAAGAGTACCTACTAGTACGTATTCTTGACCATGATTCAGACGAAGATGCACTAGGCTATGGAGTGATTCCCTTGGGTCAAGCCGTGGCCTGCTTCAAGAAAGGTTTCTTAGAGGTTGCACAATTTAAGGTTAATCTTACTCATCATGGTTTACCAGCGGGTACATTAGAAGGGGGCATGAAACTCACTTGGGAGAAAAACGCGATTAAGAAAAAAGATTATTCAGTAGACTTTTCTAGTCGAGGAACTAGTATCAGAGATTCTCTGAAAAAGAAAATATTTGTTAGAAGACCTAGCCCCAAATAGTAAAGGCCAAAGTTGCAATTTCTCTCTCCGCAACGTTCCCGTGACTTGCTCAGCAGTCTAAATGTGTGTAAACTTTTCTGTCAATCTTACGTTTGGAATTGGTTAACACTCAAGTGGTCAAGGAGCATGAACCTCAAATGAAGCAGCCACCCCAAGTTTTTCAGAATATTTTCAGCGTAACGAGGCAGTAAGTTTGGAGATAAAATCGATCTTTTGCAGATTTGGGTTGTAATGACAGTTCATTTGAAATTGACTATAAGATTATTAAGATGATTGGATCGCCTCTCCAAACTGTTGAGAACTGACCACTACAGGTGCACGCGTTTAGGTGGAGTGCATGCCGTGCTAAGACTGAGTGCAGGCACTAGGCGTTTGCCTTATCATTTTGAATTTGTTGGTCTAGGTTGGACTGCAGTGGCAAACGACCACATGCGCATTTATTAACAAGAAGTGTCTCAGCGTTCCTGTACAGCGCTGTCGCATACGTAAGATCCACAGAATGTACTGAGATCTAAAATTTCAGCCACTGGCGTTGAAATACTGCCTGGAAAAGGCGAATTGAAGAACGGAATAACTTTATTCTTCGAATCTTTCTTCAGTTATGGTATTGTTGTGCGACTGACAAGACTTTTATACTCTTTGAGAGTCTTTTCTTACGTCAGTTGCTCAAAGAGCGAAGTCCTGATGCAACCCAATGTCGTGTCCAAAAAACAAGCGTGCTATTTTGAAATGATAGGACCATCGAATCAGAGATTAGAGGGCCACAGATTTAAGTTCATTTAGATATCCAGCTCTATTTATGTCAAGTTTTTCTATAGCACATTTATATGCTGCTAAAGTTACAAGATTGAACTCCATTTCCTGCTGTTGGCAGATTTATAGTCGAAACAAAAGTAGCATTACCAAATATAAGCGGACACACCCTCCAGCTTGGGCTTTTCAGAATTGTCCAACATAAAGTCTCACTCTACTACAGGACTCTTGCCTGACAATGAAAATGAGATAATGTACTGCACTGCATTTATTCACGTGAACTTCAATGCCTATGTAACAAGATCTAGACAACTAATTCGACCTAGTCGAGCATGTTCCTAGCACACAACCCAACTATCAAAATAGTGATCGCTAGTTGGTACACTAGCAATTTTATGACTTATGATGAAAAATAAATAAATAAAAAAAAAACAAAGATCTATAAAACCATTACGAGTTATTATGATTGTGGTATTGAGAATGCTTCTAAAGGAATTGAACCAAGTATCAAAAATATATCTTTAGAAATATGCTAAAAAACTGTAAGAAGGACCATTAAGGTTGTTATATTGATGAAACAATCAAATACACACCAAATTGATAAACTAATAGGCACCTATAATTAATTAGTTAATTAACTTATTATTAATTTTGATGTTATAAAAATTCATAGAATAACACTATTTTTTTAAGATATAAATATTATAGTCCATAGTAAATAATATTAAATTCTTATAGTACCATATTCAATTCAAATAAGTACTAGGATCTTGACTTTACCTACAATAGTAGGTAGTATTAGTCATTAGAAACAAAGGAATCTATTATCTTTTACAATCATAAAAAATTGTCTTGAAAGTAATATTATTTCTTATATTCAATCTTGCACAAGAGCAAAAGATATATGAAATTAATTAATTGTAAGTCTTATTTTAAACATATAATTAAGTCACTTAGACATATCTTAGGAATAATCTTTATATAATAAAATTAAAAGAAACAAGATTGTGACTAATTAAATTTATTTTATTTAAAGTTCATTTATTTAGATACAACAAGATACATTGTTGCAAATAATAAAGCAATGTTAATCTTCATGGTTTGTTTCTTCACCATAGAACATTTAATAGTTTATTAAAAAGACTACTTAAAATCATAACATAAAATTTAATTATATATTTAGTTTATTTAAAAATAATACTCTTATAAAAATAAAAGTGTAACTTTTGAAAGCAACTTAGGAATTAATTTTATTTTTATTTTATTTTTTTAATAATTATAAGAAATCTTATATAAATGAAAGATTATACAAAAGAGAAATCTCTAAATCTCTTGAAAAAGAAATGCATCTTTTGACTAAACGAGTTGTTAGTAAAAAAAATATAGACACTTAATTAAAGACCATAAAGAAAGAATGGTTTTATAAAAGAAGAATATCAAGAAAAAAAATGAATACTATTATCAAATCAAATAGATTTTATATGGTGATAATGTTAATGTTAATGACACTACATCAAAATGATATATAGATAGTAGAACCACATAACATATGTGTTATAAGAATGACACATTTAAAAAAAAAAAAAAAAAAACAAACAATAAGAATAAGAATAAGAATAAATTTAAGAAATGATTCTACTTCATATAGAATCAAAGATTTTGGTGATAAATATAAGATTAATAAATAGTATGGAAAAATTCATTTTTATTGTTATTTTATTCCTAGACTTGTCAAGAATTTTTTCTTTGATCAAACAACTTTGCAAAGTAGGTGGTGAAAAAAGAATAAAATTTGTACACCTGAATTAAGTCAAAAAAATTGAACAAACAATAACCAGTTATAATATAAACTATAATTCATATGAATTCGATGTCATTAGTATATTTAACAAAATAATATATGTATATTATTTGTAATCAAATATATAAACCAAGTTGACATACTGCTGTTAAGACTAAGCCACATTAATAATCTTAGACTCAAATAAATACAGAAAATGTCCAAGAAAATAGATCATTTTAATAAAAAGTAAAATAAAATTTTAAAAATTATATAATATAAAAAATTTATATGAGATAAAAATTCCTAAAAGTGGTGCAAGGAAAGTCATCTAATTATTACAATTAGTATATTTGAATATATTTGGTTTTTTGCAAGTGATAGTGCATTTAGAATCTAAATACTTTACAGCTTTTATAGATGATTAGTGTAGATTTTTTTATTTTTATTGAATAAATAAGAATCAAAATTACTTGATAAATTTATCTAATGAAAAAAATTGTATTAAAAAATATTATTAAATTGAAATTATTAAAGATTTAATAGTAGAGGTGAATATTACTTTAAAGAATTTAAAGATTTTTTTTTTCAAGAAGCGGTTAAAAAGGACTGTATTTTAACTTATATACTACAACAAAATAATATATTTGAAAAAAAAAATTATAGTAGAAGCAATTTTGGCAAGTTAACTTTATTACAACCATGTATTTAAACCTTGATTTTAGGTACATAACATAACTTAGAAATGGATCAATTAAATATAATAACTACTTACTTTAATGGCTATATTGAAAAAGATATAATGTGTATGATTCTTTTAATTCCAACTTTGCTTGAGACTAAAACTCATGCTTTAATAAATTACTCTGATTTTTTTTAAATACTTTTTTATTTTTAAATAGTTTTTAAAATTGCATTTATGGATATTTTGTGATAAGTCTTGGAGTAGAAGATACATTAGAAAACTAGACTATCTTTTATCCAAGGTTCATCAAATTACAAAAAACTCTTTTAATACTATCTAAAAAAATTGAAACATATTTTAGTGGAGATTATTAATTACTTGAATAATCCGTATATGAAATTAAAAATATTTTCATTGAACAAAGTTCATGTTTACAATAAAGAAAAGAAAAGTAGAAAATGCAAGATTTGCATTGTAATTGAATATGAATATATGTACCAAAATGTTGCATGCAAAAATAACTACTACTACCAAAGCTGTCATCAAAGATTGTCATTATTGTTGCAACATCACCAATGTAACAAAATATTCAAAAAAGAAAAAGAAAAAGAGATAACAATAAATAAAGATTAAAATAAAACAGCTATAGTAATATAATAGTAGGAGTTTTGGGTATGTATACATGTATAAGTAGTTAATATATTAATAGTTGTATTTAAACACAAAAGAGTTGTAACATTATAATATAAGAGTTGTGACTATAATAGGTAGTATCATAATTAAGTTATATAAAAACAATGTCATAATAATATTTTTGATATTTTTGACATTACATGAGTAGATTTTGCTAGCTTTTGTAATTTAGATTATATTACATTATAAGTGTTGAAAGTAAATATTTTGAAGAGGCTTAGAATTGATATTACTATCATAATTTTTTGGTCATAGAATTCTATCAATTGATTATTTGCATTGCATTGACAACAACAATGTAGCATCTTTCACCACATATAATTGGTTTAGACCTGAAGATGGACAAAAAACAAAAGTAAATGGATTGGATTTTGTAAAATTTAAGGTTTAACACACTTAATTTAATGATTCTAAATTTTTTAAAATGTTAAAAGAAATTGATTTATATTATTATAATTATTTATTTTAAAAAATATAATAAAATAATAGTTTTTTTGATATGATTTAGATAATTTTTAATAAAAAAAAATTATATTTTATTCTTGATACATTAAACTTGAATATGATGTAGATTTTAAATATACAGTTTTAAAGAAGAATTTTTAATATACAATTTAATAAGATATATTATTCATTAGAAATATTTGACAAAAAAACATGTATAAATCTATAACCACTAAGAGCAAAGCTAAAACAATAAAACCTATTAAAGTTTTAAAATACATAGAGTTGAAAAATTAAACTTTTAAATCAATGAAACTATAAAAATATATAAATAAATAAATAAACTATGTGCATGTGTGTATAGATATGTATATGTATATACATATAAATCAAATCATCATTTTCTTTCCCAATCTTTAAATCCAAAATAAAATCACTTATATTTATACTTTACAAACAAACTCAAAGAAATATGTTCCATATTGATAAATAAATAGAAGAATCGCAATCATGACAACATAAATGAAATACATTGCAAGATCTACAAAATCTGACCTTCACTACTTTTTTGTTTTCTTATTTTTTTTCTCCTTCTGTTTTCTATACCCTTATTTGACAATACCACTATACTCCAAAAAACATTCTATCCACCTTTTGTTTTTGCCATCAAAAGTAGATATCAATTAATCCAAATTCAACTCAAACCACTAATAAATGCCAACAAATAATTACGCCAAGCAGATTGTCAATTCA